CGGGTTTAGCAGGTAAATACTCAAACCACTGAGCTATTCCTCCTCCTGGTCATCAGTGGGCTATGTGGTGCATGGATAAGATGGGCTCTGCTGCCTCATGGACAGTTTTAAGGCTATCTTACCGTCACCCACATTTTGGGATCTCAACAGGCATTTTCATTATGGTGCACTAATTACATGACTGTCGGGTAAAATTTTAAAAAACACCTAAATAACTTAGGGGCCTAAGGCCCATTTTCAAAGGTGACATGAGCACACAGGAGCTCAGGGCCAGATATTTAAAAGGATTCAGGTGCCTTAACAGGCAGCGTGAGGCCTAATGTGGGTGCCACTGATGTTTTCAAAGCTGCAGCTCATGCACCACCCACCCCGGTGCCTCCGTACCCTACATGCCTACGTTTCTGCTAGTTGGCATTTCCAAAGCAGCCTCAGTGCTCCAGCCACCCCAATGAGCTGCTCATAGCTGTAGCCCAAGCCCAAGTCCCCCAGGCCCTGAAGCAGAATTTTTAAAAGAGGCAGGCAAACGCCTATCTTGCCACTAAGGTCCAATCACAGGCGTGCTCTGAGCAGGCCTACAACCTGACATCTGTCAGACCTTGCAGCAGGAGGGCCTGATGATGGCCACTGACTGGAGGGGACGGAGGCAGCATTAGCACCTGCACAAAAGACAGCCAGGGCACAGTGAACCATAGGGCAAGCATTAGCGCGGTATTGTGCATATGAGTGTGTTTTGGCTGCGAGGGCATGGGCTACTTAAGGGACTGACCTGACCTAGGTGGAGAATAGAGTTTGCAGCTAAGGATCCTGAGCAGAGGGAGGAGCCTATCTCTGGTGTGTCAGCCACATGTACCAAGTCAGTTACTTAGGTACCTAAATCCCTCTTTTCCCCCTTGCCCCCCCTTTTTGGCATTTCATGCCTGGTTAGGTTAGATGGCTCTCCACTTAGCTGGCTGGCTTTTGAAAAGCCCTTTCTTAGGCAATTAATTACCCCCTTGCACTCCACAGGGAGCTGCTTAACTTGGGGCTGAAAATTCCAGTAGGCACCAGCCACCTAGGGGATAGGCATTGCTCCACCCGGCCAAGCAATGCCAAAATCCCTTTAAAAAACTGGCCCTCATTTGCTTGCAATTGGATTACGGCTTGTGATTGCCTGGCACTTTTGAAAACAGGAATTAGGCTTTTAAGTCACGTTGGGGCTTTTGAAACTTTTCCATATATATATAAACTCTCAGGCCTTCCTGTGCTAGTATATACAGAGAGAGAGAGAGAGAGAGAGAGAGAGAGAAAGATGTAAGCAGAGTCAGGATGAGCTCTATCCTGCCATCTGGTGGTGAATTGTGGCGAGTTGTGGAAAAGAACTTCAGGGGCTGGCCTTGTTTTCATAGGCACACCCACCCCGCCTAGCATGAGCCCACAGCCGCCCAAATAGCCACTTTGGCTGCTGTGGGATCCCTAGTTTCTCTGTTATTGGGGCAGAAAGAATGAAGTGTTGTTACCCTGATTATGTGAATCAAGGCTAGTGGAACTGTTTTATGACAGAGGGACTCACCATCAACTAAGTAGCACTTGCTAGACAAGGGACATGGGTTCCAAAACCCAGTCCAGAGAGAGGCTTGGGACAGGTATTTGTACTGGAGGTTTCTGGCTGCCTGAAACATCAATTGCTGTACTTTCTCTCTTCACTGTTATATAGTAGAGCTAATTTTGATTCTATTATGAGTCTAGTTACAGGCTGCTGTGCTGAATTCACTTTAGGCCAATAGTGCACTGGCAGCGGGGTCCCCTATTACAAACTATGAGAGCTGAGATCATTGAGTGCTGTGTTAACTAGTGGGGGAGCCTGCAGATATATTGCTAAGTGGCTGGCAGAGCGGAACAGTTTGTGGGATGGTTGGAGCTGCCCATGGGATGGCGATTGGAGGGGAGTGAAGCAGGGTGGAGTGGAGCAGTTTGTGGGACGGCTGGAGTGGTTCGTGGTGAAGGCTGCAGCAGAACCCCACGGAGAGACAAGGCAGTTGGCCTTGGACCACTTAAGGTGCCCCTTAACACCCCGCGTACCCCCTTCTCCCTCCCCGGCTGGGGGTGGTGGTAAAACTCTGCAGATAAACTTTTGAACTCTGGGGCTGCACTGACCAGGGACAGAGACTTTTGGGACTTTGGGGTGATCTTTTGGGTTGTTGGACTTAAGACCCCGAGGGGAAAAGGACACTGCCAAACTTACCTGGGGGTTGGTCTTTTGCTCATGGTTTATGTTATGAATCCTGTTTGTGGTGTTTCCCCAACATAATGCCGCATTGTTTCCCTTCTTTATTAAAAGGATTTTGCTACACTCAGTCTCCGTGCTTGCGAGAGGGGAAGTATTGCCTCTTAGAGGCACCGGGTGGTGGTGGTATGTAATTGTCCCAGGTCACTGGGTGGGGGCTCAAGCCGGTTTTGCATTGCGTTATTGAAACTGAACCCTTAGATACTGAACCCGGCCCTTGTTGCTGCCAACTCAGATGGGCAGAAGGCCTGAGCAGTTAAAAACACATGGCTAACAAAAATGGACATGCCTGTGGTCATGCAGCCTCTGGCCACAGTTTACCAATGTGTTGTTTTGTAGCTCTGTGCTTCCAAGCATCTCCTGCATCTTTTCAGACATGAGGGGGCCTTTTACCTGGAATTTGTCATCCCTTTAAAGCATTTGTCCTAATGCAGCTGCATGTGTATCACAAACCTTTGTGTTGGGAGCATCACATCTGTTGACTCATCTCCATATGCCAAGTGTAGCAGATGCTATTTATTTTCAAATTCAGTTTTAGTTTTAAAAAAGTGTGACTCCCAGGCTGAGCCCCCAGGTGTCAATCTTAATCACACAGCAAGGCAGGTGGATTTGTGAAAACTCTAGCAGACCAGTTTATACAGTGGACGGCATGTCCCAGCTACCATGGGCTGAATGTGGGCAGTGGCTAGCACAGGGATCTGAACGCTCTCACTAGTACATTGTCTGCTCAAAACTGGCACAAGAGAATAATGACCAAAAATTGTTACTATCTAATGGCTTTGGTGACTTGTATGTAGTGCATTTCACATCTCCTAGCGCTTAATGGACAGGTTTCCATAGCACCAAAGAACTGGGGAAAACCCACTACCACAATTGGCCCCCATGTTTGTCAGCTCAACAGAAAGGACAATCACTGAACAACCATGGAAATGGAACCCTCAGAGATGCTCATACCAGGTTAGCGTTAAGACATCAGGGCACTGGAGGGAGCTTGCACTGCCATTACCAGCCTATATTGTACCTGTTCTATGGTTCAGCAGAGGATTTCAGTCTCCAGGGCTGGCAAAATGGCACTTTTCATAAGCATGACATTCACTTAGAAAAATAACTGTCAGGCATTTGTGTTTGTACCACTGTGTGCCAGCAAAATGTGCAATTTAATTTAATTCTCCAGAAAGCAGTGTCACGAGACGTAAAAGTTGCACAACAGTCAGAAATGTGTGAAAAATTGCACCACAACTGGTTTTGCTTCTGCTTTCTATTCCCACCAAAAGCTTGGTCAGCACTATAAAGATAAGTTTACACTGCACAAAACCCCACCTCCAGCTGTGAGGCTCAGACACTGATTCCATAGACTCAGTCTACAAACTGGGGCTTGTGGGTTATGCTATGGTGTTTTTAGCTGGAAACACCCTAGACGTTCCTGCTTGGGCTCCAACACCTGGCCAGGGGGAGGCTCTCAAGCCTGAGCTGAACATCTACACTGCTATGTTTAGAGCCACAGTGTGAACCTGAGCCTCCAGACCTGGGCTCTGAGACTTGCTGCCACAGGGTTTTTGGGTTTGTTTTTTTCCATGTAGACATGCCCTCTGTGGTTTAGACCTGTGTTTTAGACCAGTACTGGGTCACGGACTGTAAGGCACTGGGTCACGGCGGCTCTGCTCAGCACCGCCAATTGGCCATTAAAAGTCCCATCGGCGGTGCTGCCCGGCTAAGGCAGGCTAGTTTCTACCTGTTCTGACACCGCGCTGTGCCCTGGAAATGGCCAGCAGCAAGTCCGGCTCCTAGACGGGGGGGTCATGGGGCTCCACGTGCTGCCCCCGCCCCGAGCACCAGCTCCACACTCCCATTGGCTGGGAACTGGCCAATGGGACCTGGGGGGTGGTCAGAACCCACGCAACCCATTAGGCGACCTAGGCGGTCGCCTAGGGTGCTACAATTTGGGGGGCAGCGACCGCGGCGGTATTTCGGCGGCGGGAGGCATTTCGGGGCAGGACCTTTCGCCGCCTAGGGTGGCAGAAAAGCTGGCGGCGCTCCTGGGGGTGGTGCCTGCGGGTGAGAGCCTCGTGGAGCTGCTTGCGCCTCCGACTAGGAGCCGGACTTGCTGCTGGCCACTTCTGGGAAGGAAGCCTGCCTTAGCACCCCCACTGCGCTGCTGACCAGGAGCCACCCGAGGTAGCCTGCGCCCCAATCCCCCGCCCCAGCCCTGAGCCCCCACCAACCCGGAGCCCCTTCCTGCACCCCAAACCCCTCATCCCTGGCCCCACCCCGGAGCCATGAGCCCCCTCCCACACTCCAAACCCCTCATCCCCAGCTCCCTTGGGTCGTGGGCATCAACAATTTTCTTCAACTCAGTCGCCCGAAAAAAAGTTTGAAAAAAAAACCTCCTTGTTTGGACCACGATCCTGCGAAGACTTCAGCGGCATTACTCTCCGGGCATAAAGTTGGGCACATGCACACTTCTGGCAGGATCAGGGCCTTAATGGAAATGCCTCTTAAAGAACATAGTTAAAGGGTTTACACAGGCAGGAGCCTCCGTGTTTCTGTAGGCAGCCTAGGGGAAGTGACCTTGCCCGTGAAGTCTGTCTGTACCCTGGACAAACAGCTGACCATAGCACGTTCTTGGCAGCTACCAAACTGATACCAGATGTTCCTGCGAGTTCATTAAGAGAAACGATCGCAGTATAATCACTCAAGGCGGGGAGGAGAGCGGGGAACCGGCTGCTCTCAGGAGCCCATTCTTCTAGGCTTGCAAATGCCCGTAACTCCCGTAGGGGGCAGGCGCCTGGTTGAGCAACCGAACACCCCCGAGATTGCGGCGAGCGCCGGGCGGTGCCGCTGGGGCTCTCGGGGGCGGGGATGGCCGAGGCTGGGAGTAGCGGCGAGGCCAGCGCCGTCCCTGGCGCTAATCCCAGGGGCGCCACTGCCCCGGCCCCTCTTGCGACACGCGCTCGCAGCCCACTCCCCGCGGGCGGACCCCGGGCCCGGCGCGTCCTGCGCCGCGGGTTCTTGTCCCTCCCAGCCCAGGGCGCAGCTGGGGATTGGCAGAGCCCAGCCCCTGGCTGACTCAGGCGCCGCAACCTCCCCTTAAATGCTCGCGCCGAGGACGGGGGGGACCGGCCCGGCCGCGCAGGAAGCAGCTGCAGCTCCAGGAGCGCCGCGCTGAGCATGGCCAGGCTGCCCCGGCATCTCCCCCCGCTCCTCCTGCTGCTGCTGCTCGGGGGCTGCCTCTGCCCGGCCTCCGACGCCGGCCTCCACTTCAGGGAAGGGCAGCACTGCTACAAACCGGCCCCGCGCAAGCCGCCCGGGCTCAGGTGAGCGCTCGGCCCCGCCGCTGGGCTGGGCTGGGCTGGGCTGGGTGGGAGGAAGGGCGCCACATGCAACGCTGCTGCTGCTACGCCCGGGCCACTGGCTGGGCGAGAGGCGGCTCCTCGGAGCCGGGACCAGGGAGAAGCCGGTCAGCCTCTCGCGTGCCGGGAACGGCCCAGGGGCGCTGCCTGGCTCAGGCTGCGCCGCTTCCCGAGCCAGGCAGGCAGAGCCCAGCAGCAGCCCGGAGGAATCAGCTGGGGGGGTGTGAAATCCCGGAATGTCACTGCCCACGTGATGCCGAGACCGCCCCAGCCCCTACCCGACCCCGCTGCGGCTTCCCCCAGCCCCTCCTTCCTGTACCCCAGGGCCGCAGCAACAAAGAAGGTGGCCCCCTCCGAACATATGTCCGGGCGGGGCCCCTTCCAATGCAGAAACTGGAATGCGGTATTTATTTTGCCACTTTTAGGGGCCCCCTTCCTTGCGGGGCCCCCTCCGGTCGGAGGGTAGGGAGGGCGCGCGCTACGCCTCTGCTGTACCCGGCCTGGACCCTCCGGCTTTGCCCTGCGCCTGGCCGACCCGAAGCGACCCCTGGTAACAGCGGAGAACTTCACCACACCAATTAGTTTCGATAACATCCAGGCTCATCGCCATCCCCTAGGGAGGCGGGGAAACGGGGTGTTTGCAATTGGCCCCAGTTTCAGCAGCAGGGCCAAGGAGTCTCTGCTTCTCTAGGGGCAAATGGCCAGGACCCAGCTCCTCAGAGGGAATTTGGTGCCTAAATACCTTTGAGGATGTGGGCACAGGGTGACTATTGGGGGGAGATGGGGATTTGCACTGCTGCCAAGTTATTCCTTGATACAGGACTCCTGAGCAATGCAGAAGGGAGATAATAAATCCATCCTCTTAGTTTTGAGAGTAGATCGAAAACAGCATGAAGCCTGGATTGTTTCATGTGAACTCCTGCGAAGGGCTGCATTGGGCAGGCCTCTCATTTCTTATGTTAATCTCAGCTGCCTACCTGGTAGCTGTTTCTGTGAGTTAACACTAGTCACAAGACCATAGATAGAAGGGCATTAAAGGTCATGGTGGCTAGAACTATCATGTGATCTCAAGCTAGGATGGAAATTCTCACACATCATTGTGAGACTGGAAGATTTTCCCCCCCCCCCTCCCCTCTCTCTCTGAAAATATAAAAATCATCTCTGGGAAACAAGCTTAATTCTTACTACTCTGTTTCCATATAGAACCTACCCTCGACCTCACGAGTACCTGGACATCACTAAACTTCCCCCGAGCTGGGATTGGCGAAATGTAAACGGGACCAATTTTGCCAGTACCACTCGGAACCAGCACATTCCTCAGTACTGTGGGTCTTGTTGGGCTCATGGCAGCACCAGTGCCTTAGCAGGTACTTGTTACTGGGTATCTGTTGTTACTGGGTATTGTTTTCTTGCCAGTCAGTCCATTTTCAGGATCCCCCAACATTCTGAACCCCTGATGGGGGGGCATCCTCGATTTGCAGGATTATCAGCACTATTCGGGGTTGTCACTGCACAAGACAAAGGGCCTAACTCCTAAATAGCTTTGAGGCTCTGGGCCAAGGTACCTGCCCTAAATAAGACAGACGGGGGAGAGGGTAAGGAAGATTTTAAAGTGAAGGTAGTTTTGGTGGTAGCATATACTGTGGGAATTCCCCAACTGGCAGCTGAAGAGGGGAATTTTTTTTTCTTGGTGGAATGTTCCATTGTGGTAGAAGTGGCCTCCCTCATTTAGAATTATACACAGATTAAAAAGGAAAAATTGGATTGATTAAAACACATTTAGCAGAAGGGACATTGCTTGTGGGGTGGGAATGTCACACTCCCTTCACTATATAGTTCTCTTCTCCCTCTTGCATTCAGTCAGTTAGGCCCCAGAAAGCCAGGAGAAGTAGGTAGATAAATTATTCTATCAATACAGTGAAAACCGAGATACAACTGTGACTTCCCCTTTTTGGGTGGGGGCAGCAGCTCAGCTGGAGTTTAGCTTTCGGTGGAGCAGTTTCTCTTTTGCCTCTTTAGGGCAACAGCAGCAGTGGGACAGATGCACATGGGGCTGGGAGCATGTTACAGTAACTCCGCACTTAACGTCCTCTCGCTTAACGTTGTTGCTATCTTACGTCCCTGCTCAGTTACGGAACATGCTCCATTTAAAGTTGTGTGATGCTTCACTATAACGTCATTTGGCTGCCTGCTTTGTCCACAGCTGGCAGCCCCCCATCAGCTCCCCTATGCCACCCCACACACAGCGCCTGCCGGCAGATCCCGTGGATCAGCGCCTTTCCCTTCCTCCCCCCGCCTCCTGCCATTGGCAATCAGCTGGCTTGCAGCGTTCAGGAGGGAGGAGCAAGGACTCAGTGTGCAGGTTCCCCCTCCCTCCCGAATACTGTACTGTATGGGGAAAAAAATGGGGGGGCGGGGGGAAGAAGCGGGTTAAGGGTGGAGGTTTGGGGGAAGTGGTGGTGTGGGCAGGCCGAGGGTTGAGCTCTCCACCCCTGGGAAGTTGCCGCGGCTGCTGCACAACATGCTTCTCCTAGCCTACAGCACCTTCAGCCTCCTTGCCTGCCTCATTGTCTGCAGTGCCAGTGGGCTGTGCTGTGTGGGGTAAGGCGGGGGTACCTGCCAACTATAGTACTGTATGGCAAAAAAAAATTTCCTGGAACCTAACCCCCCCCCCATTTACATTAATTCTTATGGGGAAACTGGATTTGCTTAACATCATTTCACTTAAAGTCGCATTTTTCAGGAACATAACCAACGTTAAGTGAGGAGTTACTGTAGACAGGTTGAGCAGACATATTGAAGCAGGGGAAGTCTTACAGGGATGAGGTTTCACTACCAGTCACTCAGGGAAACAAAAGTACAGGTTTCATTGCCGGTGTACGTGGTGCTCTACAAAACACATGCAGATGCCTGCAGAGTTTCTGTTAATTTGGATAGATATAATACATAACCAGTGTCTGGGGTGGAGAGTAGTACATAGAGAAAGATGCAGAACAGAGACTAGGTTGGAGGCAGTAGGAGCTGCTGGGGAAACTAGTCCAGGACAAAGATGGCGTTATGAAGAACCAGGTTTTTAACTAATCCAAAAATGCAGATACCAGCAGGGCTTGGTGATCATGTGTTTACACTGAAGTCCAGCGTCCTGATATACAACTGAACTTTCTGACTGGCTTTGTTTACAGTTTTGAGAAAAATTAAAGGTGCCCAGGACATGGAAAAAAAATCAAATTTATCAAAATTCCTTAACTTTAGTAATAGAAGGGGTGTCAAATCTGTGCTTTCTTGCTGTCACTGGCAGACTAGGGAAGTAGAGTGGAAGCTTTCTGAGGCCTCAGGTGAAGCAGTAGGAGTGTCTACTTTTCATAAAGAGCTCTTCTCACGCATCTGAGAAGAATGATCATTATGATTGGGGTAGCAGTTTTACCTAAGGATCATGGCCCCATCGTAGTAAGCATTGTACAAATGCTTAGTATAAAGTCCCTGCCCCCAAAGAACTCCGTCTAAGTAGACAAACAAGTGGGAGAGCAGAGAAAGCAAGGAGGTGGGCAAGCAAGTAAGAGTAAACCAAGCAAGTACAATTGGGCATAAACTGTCAGAAAATTTGGCCCTTGGTCTCACTGCTGCCTAAATCTATGCAGATTTGAGATTTCAGAGCCTAGCAGAACATCCAGTAGACCTGGGATCTACAGCCAACGTTACGGGTGACCTGGGGCAAGTCACCTGACTTCTCAGTTTTTCCTTCATCGGTAAAATAGGGATAGTTATACTTCCAAGCTTTGTAAAGAGCTTTGAGATCTGTAGATGAAACATGGTATAGAAGAGCCAGGTATTATCATTAGTTACACCTGAGTGCTTTCATAACTGGCAGAGGATGTTAGGATTTATCTAATTAAGGACTGAAATGATACATGTACATCCATATATATCTGCCCCTGAAGCCAAATTTGAATGGAAAACAGTAGCTGCACCTGCAAAACATAGACGCCATCATTACGCCCACTCTGATTGGGTCACGCTGTGGGCACCTAGCCATTCTGTTAGCATATACCACTGTAGGCTTTTGCACCTACAGCTGTCTGCAGATATTTAACAGATGCAGCTAAGGAGACATAGTTGAAACATTTGGCCCGTAATGAGTTACAGACAACAGTAAAACTAACAAGCACCAATTGTTTATTCTTCTGTTATTACCACAGACCGCATCAACATTAAGAGAAAAGGTGCTTGGCCTTCTGCCTACCTCTCTGTTCAGAATGTTATTGACTGTGCCAACGCAGGGTCCTGCGAAGGTGGAGACCACACAGGTGTTTGGATGTATGCTCACGACCATGGCATTCCAGATGAGACCTGTAACAACTACCAAGCCAAAGACCAAAGTATGGCAACAGATTGCAAACCTTCCTAGCTACTACTCACTCTCGTTTGGCATTCGCTTTAAAGGAAATTAAATATAATTTAGCTAACACACGCAGTTCTTTTTCTGCTTCTACTTACTGCGGGCTGCTAGTGAAGCACCTGCTATCTAACTAGGAGCAGCAGGTTCCCTTAGAGTAGCTGTCTGTGTTGTTGTTTTTTGCACCAGAATCAGACAGCATAGTGTGTTGCCATCATGTCTGAACAAGCACCCACCATCCAGGCTGCTAATTTGAACTCACTAGGCACTGATGTGCATCGGTGCTTTCATGCAGTAATATTTAGAAGTGTCATCTTAAGTTACCAGAGCAGAACTTCAGTCTACTATACTTACTTGCAAACAAATCCCTTGAGTTGTTTCTCTAGCTCCACAGAAGCAATTTAATTATTTGTATACGGAGACACTTATCAGGAAGTAGTTTTTATAACCTAGGATTGAAAAGCATGTTTGAAGGCTGAAACAGATAAAGAGCACATAACCTTGAAATATTATTGACTGTGGAGACTGCCTTAATTAGCAATCTGAACTTGCAGCTTTATTTAACCTGAAGGAACAAGCAGTTTTCTCTGCTATATTTAATCTTATAATTATGGCCCCTCAAAAGGAATTAAAATTTACCATTAATTATATTTCATTGAATAATTAACTGTAAGAAGAAAAACACTAGCTTGCAATGTTAATCGAATGTCACTGCTTCTTTATAGCATGCAAGAAGTTTAACCAGTGTGGAACATGTGTTACCTTTGGGGAATGCCACGTGATAAAGAACTACACCCTCTGGAAAACTGCTGACTATGGCTCTGTCAGTGGGAGGGAAAAAATGATGGCAGAAATCTATGCCAATGGTCCAATCAGGTAAAGACAGTATTACAGGGGAAGAGTTATCCTGTTAATTTTCTTTTAGTTGTTTCCAGTTTATCCCATGAAGCTTGCAGAGCCTCCTTATGTAGCTCATTCAGCACTTCTTCACCAGACCAGGCCTTAGCCTCTGAAGACTGATATGTGCTAAACTTTTGCACAATATCTTATGATCTAGACCCACTTAAGTTAAGAACTTTTCATTTGAAGTGAAAGGTGGGTGACGGACACTGTTCTCCTTTAGTCTGCAATAAAATTATTTTTGAATGAGGAAGCTCTTTTTGCTTGTTACAGTTGTGGCATAATGGCTACTGCAAAGCTGGATGCGTACACTGGAGGACTTTATGCTGAATACAACCCCTCTCCTATGGTGAATCACATTGTATCTGTGGCTGGCTGGGGAGTGGAAAATGGAACTGAATACTGGATTGTCCGTAACTCCTGGGGCGAACCATGGGTAAGGAAGAGAGAGAAGGGATGTGCTCAAAATGAAATGCACATTTTTAAAAACTCCAGCAATTTCTGTATTACAAGTTGTACAACTAGCTTGTTTATTAAAAAAAAAAAAAAAAAAAAAATCTAAGTTTCCGCCTTAGCCATAGGAGTTGTCTCAATCTATGATTTTTAATACAGCTGACAACTAGGAAAAAAGTCTATAAACTGAATGTAATGCTACCCCAATTCAAAGAACACGTAAGGCAATAGCAGGCCAGCCTTTGTGCGGTGTTAACTCCATAAATCCTAATGCTGCCCTCGTATGTGTATGCAACTCCCATTGAAGCCAGTGGTAAATAGCTTTGTGATATATGGTTCTAATAGCTATTTGGCTATGGATAGTAGGATATGGAAATGAATTCCTGGCTGGAAACAAATGAGTTCACTAGAGAACTGCTATTTCAAATAAGCTTGTTTTGTGAATCTCACTCAAACCCTTTGCAGAGATCTGCCTTCACCTCTAGTCACCCTTGCTCTGCCCAAAGTGCACTGCTTATGAGACAAGTTACTTTGATGTTACTAATTTATAAACCTTTTGCCAATACTAATGAAAATTAATTTACTATAGGGTGAACTGGGCTGGCTGAGGATTGTGACAAGCGCATATAAAGGTGGAAAAGGAGCTGAGTACAATCTCGCTATTGAAGAGGATTGTGCCTACGGGGATCCTGTATTACCTTGATTGTTTCTAGGGTTTATGGGGTTCTTTCTGGCTTTGAAATTTTATTTTTCCCCCTCCAATCAAGGTTTTTTTTTTATTTTTTTATTAAAAGGCAGTTTAACTATTCTGTAGTAAAGAATGACCAGGCAGTTAAGAGGAATTAGCTCAGATCACCATGTTGTTTTAGAAGTGGAAAAACTGCCTCTAGATTTTTAACTTACACTGCGTATTTAAAAGCAGCTGTTAAGACAAATTTGCTTATCCTCTGCTTTATGTGCTTGGTACTTACCAAGCAACTTATCAGAAGCTATAGGTACAAATCCTCTCATTGGAAAAATCATTCTTTCTTGTCAATATTTAATCTGAAGGAATATATAAGATTTGTTTTACACTTGTAACAAAGGAGGTTTTCCTTCTAGTACAAACTTTAAGTTTACTTTAAGCAAGAGGTACTGATTTCTTTTAAAAATTTGGGTTTAGACTTGCAAATTATATACACAAAGTACAATAGCAAAGTAAATATTACCGAGCTACATAAATGCAGAAACCGTACTATGTTTTTTGTTCTCTATTTTATAACTCTGTCCTAGTCACATCCTGTTGTTTCACTAAGGCATGTGTTGCATTGCAGATTGTCATTTTTATCTGACTGAAAGTGATGCAACAGTAACCAAATCTCTTTAAAACTACTGGAAAATGTTTAATATAAGCAATGATTGTTATTTCCTGATTCTTTCTTTACTCTAATTCTAGGCTTTGGTATTTGAATGGCTATGCTATTTTTCTGTACAAGGACAGGTTTTTTTAAGAGGGGGGAGAAAGGGAACAGGGTTCTAATGAGACATAGCTTTTAACATGTGCTTTTAGCATACAAGGAAAGATGGTATGTTATCTTCCTCTTTCCTGCTTACTCAACCTCATGTGCCTAGTTCTGTAATGGTGTAAATTACAACCCAAACCATATCAAACATTAACTGAATCACAGTTGTTAAACTGACATTGTTTTTTATGTGAAGTGATTAGAGGGTGCGCAAGTGGATTGTAAGAGTTGAATGGAATTTGTTTCTCAGCATTAAGTTAGTGGTACCTATGGCAGCATCTCTTGGCAGGGCACAGACAAGGTTTAAACAGAATCTGTACTTTAGTTAAATACCACCATGAGGTGCCAGCGAAGGATGGGTGGGGGAATAGAGCCACCTTCAATGATCGCATGTGTATGAGTGAACTAAGGACACCTACAATTTGCACAGAAACTGAGTGCCCCATGTCGCCAAGGGTCCTGCTCTTGGACTGAGATGCTAATCAACCACAACATACTAAACGTGGCTGTATGTACTGCAGGTCACATTTACCTAGAACAGAGATTAGGGTCTGCATTTCAGGTACACTACAGGACAGCAGGGAGCTACAGCCTTCTGTTTTCCATTTTGGCAAGTTAAGAAGAAACTGATCTTCCAAATGTCTTAAAATATCTCTAATTTCAGGAGCCGGCTGCTTTTTTGTTTTAAATAAAAACGTAATTGTTCACCTGTGACCTACAACTGAGAGGCACATTACTCAGCTACAGTTGTTTCATTGTGACATGGGCTTTATTTTACCAATTATTAGCTTCATCGCTGTCCCACTGATTTCTAACACCATTGCTGCTGCTGCTTTGATAAAGTAATACCAGGTCAAATCTTTACCTTCAATCTCAGAGGGAGAAAACTGTCTCCTAAACTAGTTGCCTAGCAAAATACAGAGGACAGTCTAGGGGCCTATGATCCATATTAGAACATGCAGCATTGGTCTCATGGATACAGTATAGGATGGGCCACAAGAGCTACATTCTATTCCTAGTTCTGACAGATGTTCTTTGTGAACTTGGCCAAATGACTTTCCTTTAGCTGTCAAAAAAGGATACTAAAACATGAAGGTTGCAAAATTAATAGTCTTTAGTTACATGGTCACATTAGCATAATTCATATATGCAAAGCATGGGCAACCTCAGTTCTACACTGCCTGACTCTTGAAAACTCAACTTTGCACCCTTGCTATTCTTAAAATTAACTTAAACATTTAAGGTTTACTAAAAATATAAGTTCCACAATATGAAGCCACAGTGACCCTGATGGGTCATCAACAGGGTTGTCCCTTGAGGTCCACACCACAGACCTTTCACTTGAAGGCCACAATATGGTTGTAGGGGCAACTCTAATTTTGACTTTTCCTAACCCTTGAAAACTCAGCCTTAAGGTTCTTTTTAACAGCAATGGGGAGGAGTTGGCTATCCGCCTCTGTGAACCAACCACTGCTAGGGGATGAGGTACACTAGCTGATCTTGGATTTCACTGCTATTTGCTGACAGCAGAGTAATGATGAGATTGAAGAATCCTGGGTTCCATTCCAGTTTCTGGAAAGGAGCATTTTAAAATAAATTATAAATCCTTTTATCCTCCGCCCCATTGCAGGTGAGTTAGGCTGCTTCCTCCTCACTGCCCAGGCATCAATAGGGGGAAAACAGAGAAATGCAAACAAACATTCTCCCTCCTTTCAGTCCAGGTGCCAGGAGCAGCAATTCCAAGGCAAGTCCTGCTTAGCTGCTACAGGCAGGGAAGGAGCATGCTCAGTACCAACTGAACGCTGCTGCCAGCCTCTAACAAACCTCAGCTGACCTTGTACAAACTGAATTTTAAGAGGCCAAATGTGTGGATTTTCTCAGGAACAGCAAAGACCATTTGCCTGAGAGCAGGATAATTTCTGCTTCAACACATGGAGGTAGTAGAGCTTCTCAGTGAAACAATGGTCAGAATTTTTTTCAAACATGGGCAAAACATTCAGCATGGAAAACTGCAACCTGAATGGTTATAATTTGGTAAAGTTATAAGCTATTGAAAATAATTTATAATGGAAAATGTTAGCCACCTTGAAAGCTATTTATATGGCAGTCATGTCATGGAGTGCATTGTGCTAGGCACTGTATGAAAAGAACAAAAGCTTACAATTTAAGTAGAGGACAAGACAAGAGATGGATATAGACAGGGGAGAACAAGGAAACAGTATTGGTCAGCATGGTAAGCACTAGTCTCGGCATACCAGTGGCCTAGCCATTTTTTGTAGGCATCACAGCAAAGGAGAGTTTTAAAGAGGATAATGAGGTCATTATCCTGATGTTTACAGCAAGCTCCTCCCAACCACAAGGGGCAGCAAAGGACAAAGCATGAAAGTGCTTGCTTGGAAAGTTAAGAGGACAATGGAGGCCAATTCAAGGCAGGAGTCAATGTCTCAGCAGCAAATGAGAGATGGTAGTAGGGTGGGTACAAAAGGCTTTTAGAGTAAAACCAAACAGAAGCTGTTTGTCGAGACAGAAAACGGGGAGCTTATGGAAGACAGCAAAGAGTTAAAGTTGGGTGTCCCTTCTACCTACAATACTCCCAGAGGTGCCTGAAGCCTTATATTTTAAATGTTGTCAAAGCACTTTGGAATGTTCTAGCACCAAGAACTAGGAAGCACTATTTATGCAAAAGATTCACCTCCTTTGAGCAATGGGCCAGTGTTATGGTAGTAATAAACTAGAGTTGCTGCAGCAGCACTACTCTGATCCCCTTTAGGAAGCACTGTCCCCTTTACTCAACTACTACAGATTAAAGTCTGATAGAGAGTCCCACTTGTATTGGGAGAAAAGAAGGTTCTTGCAGTTCTGCAGAAGAGTCCACAAACAATGGCAAGTTATCTTGTGTATTAGTGCACCCATGCCTGCAGTATCTCATTACCAGAGACTCATTAACACATTTATTTGGCTATTTTGAGGGCTTGGTTTCTTTTTATGAATGTAACTCTAAACAACAATTTTGTGCCCATCGTTAGTTACAAGTGCAATTTATCTGGATGAAATTAGGGCATATAGATATCAACATTCCTTAAAATAGCATGGCAAGTTTGGCTTCTCTGTGCCCCCATTTTTTTTCCTGCATGTGTTTGTGTGCAAAATAACAAAACAAAAAAACACCCCACACAGTTATGTTTTAAAAAAAATCAGGCTAACCATATAAAGCATAAAAGAGGTCTCTGTCAAAGTACTGTTTATGAAAATATAAATTAGAATCTCAGTGGTTTATTTCCACTGCTCGTCTCCATACTAAATTAGTAAATGCTAACGTAATAAAAAAAGCTACACCAAGAATGTTTAGATATATTCAGATAATTTAGCTACAGTACCAACTGTGACATGGTAATGAAACTTACCAGTAACGTTTAACACATCTATTAAAAAAAAAAAAAGAGAGAGAATTCTGAACAAGGCTGCTTGCACACAGGATTTGTCTATCAGTACAGAACTAGCCTTGATTATTACAACTCAGTTTGAGTTCCACAACACACGTCGTTTTTCAGAAGGTAATTCTGTAGGATATTAAGAACACTCACCTGTCAAACACAATGAGAAAAATCATCCTGGGTTCTCCGCAGCACAGGACTAACTGTGTGCTCATCAAATCACAAGATCAAAGCCTGCAGCATTTAGGGTTACAGTCACTAGAAAAGTGGCGAGGGAGAGTGTGTGTGTGTACAACACACACACACAAAATCAGTAGAAGAAATTCCTACAAGCTGTGAAAGTAACAAAAACCATTCCTTGAAATATGACTGTATTTCTCATGCTGCTCTTCCCAAAGATGCAATAGAAGACCTCCAGAATAAAGTTCAAAGTTACTGTGCAATATGAATCAGCAAGCATCTCTACACTTCTTCCTTGTTGGCTGCCATTGTATTATCCAACTAGCGAACCCTACTGGTGGTGGGCATAGCAAAGAAGTGATTGTCCATAACCTCAGTATTCATGGTACTCTGCATTCTTGTTTTATCGCTTCCTTAGTTCACCATAATGAAGTTAGATTTGCAATGAGCTTAAAGAAAAAAGATTTAAAAAATTTGTTCAGCACGTTGTTTTAGTTATAACTGCTTTCATGTGCAATGTCTGCATTATATAATTGGTTTGTGACAACTCAGTAAGTTAAAGTCTAGGGAACAGATTGACCCTTTTTGTTCTCAGGCGTGAGTGCACTATGGAGGCAATAGGAAGGGACTTGCTCTGCTATACAGCAGCCTCTCTAGAAGCACCGGTGAAGGACTTTCAAAGGAAGTCCCATCTAGCCATCCCTGATTAAAGGAAAATCTCTCCACATGGGTCTTTAAGAGGAAAGGGAAACTGGAATGAACACAATAGTGCCTGTATAATATATTCTATTAACTGTAATCCCCCTCCCACAAATATTATCTTCAGAATGTAAGGGCGTACATAAAGGAGTGAGGAGGGAACAAACATCTTACCTATGAATTCTGTGACAGGGTCATGTTCACCTTCTGTTTTAATAGTGCCTGCAATGCTTTCATTCTCTAAGATTGGAAGGAAAAGCTGCACAAAGTCTGAGGTATATGGAGGAGCAATCACATCCAGTACCTGAGATGTCAGACAGAGAACTGTGGGTTACTTTTCCAGTTTGGTGATTGGCAGAGACAATTGACTTGTGTTATCCTCCTCCCTTAAATCAAACTGGTGGTATATTACTAATTCACATTTTTTTCACACCACCTCTAGTCTCCAGCCATGCTTCGGCCATGTGCTGCCTCTAGCTTGCTGATGTTGCAGACAAACCTGTTTAGATCACTACGGGAACTCCTGCCCTCTGAAAACAGTATGCCATGTCCTAGTGAGTGTCTAGTGTTAAGTATCTCTCTCAGAATCTGATGTGTCTTGAAGTACGGGTATTTGTAAAATCATCAGTTAGTAATTTCTACCAACAGTCTCATCCAAACAGATATAAAACCTATATTAAATCTCATCTGGTTATGTGTTAGTTGTCCCTTTTCAAAGCAAAACCAACAAAAAGAGCTACATGAACAAAAGTGAGCAGCTGACCTCAGTAACAAAGTATCTAATGAGTGAGATGTCTGTGTCTAGTTTCTCCAGACACTTGCGGATATAACCGACGACAGGTAGGACATATCCCCGACTGAGTAAGTGAACCATTCTGTCCAAAAGGGTTTTCTTCAATTCCAGCTGAAAAGACAAGAGGAAAAAAAGCCATGCATATGAATCAGAATCACCTAAAAAAAGGTGTTACTGTTCATACTTATAATTTCAGTCTGTCAAGTAACTTTTTATGACGACATAATATTCTTGAAGCAAGTTCCACTGGGAATGTTGGTGCAGCAAGATCAGTCATCATGAGTCTAACTAACAGATAAGGAGCAACATAAAGAACAAATCCTTTAAGTATCACCTGTTCCATGACATCAAGCTGGGAGTGTTCCGTTTCAAAAAGCTTGACAAGAAGTTGCAGAACTTGGGGGTGAAGCAGCTGATGGCATGTGCTGATCTGCAAACATGAGGTAGTGTTAAGGTCACCAGTACTTCTACTTTAAAAGACAGTTATTCAAGCAGGCTTACCCTTATTTTCAGTTATTGATCCAATGCTCAGTACAGAATTCTTCAGGACTGGATGTGTACAACTGCTATTCATCCCTTTGCGGGCTAGAGTTGCCAACTCAGTGGGATTTGCTTCAGGAAATCCCATCTCATAGTACCAAGCAGTTAACTTGGGGTACTGAAATGGATTCATCTCAGTAAGTTTACTGGGTTACAGTAACTGACTGATGTAATCCAGTGTGAGACTTCAATTGACTTTGGATCAGGCCCTTAGAATCATTCCACTTACAAACCTAAACGTTGCCATTACCATCACCACTCAGTAACATATCCCTTAAGCTCTTACCTCGTCTAGTAATGCCAGATGCACTGGAGTGTGATCAGTCTGAAGCTGAAAATATCGTGGTTCTGACACTGTCCAGTCCACCCACTTTAATACACCCATTGCCACCACAGGAAACCTAAATAGAATAAGCTCCATTAGACAAACTGATTTTAGATACTCCATCCTAAAGTTTGGTCTTAGTCTTGCCTACAATCAGCTGAAAGTTTCATATTTAACTTAGATTAGAATTAATACTCGGAGAGAAAAAGAAATACTCTTCCTGCTACCAGCATGTTCACAACAGGCTCCACTGATAAAATAAAAGGAGACGCTCAGCCTAGAGAAATTCCTTTTCCCTTCACAAGGATGCTCCCTTAGCAGAGAATGGTATGTCCCATGCACAGTGGGCAAGAAGATCTTTCTGCACGTAATGTAGTGTAAGGCTGAGCAGGCCCAAGAATGTTCCAGTCAGACTATTCAACATCAGCTGTCTCAGACACGTGTGTGTGTGTTTTAGGTAAAAGTGACTCCGGTGTGACTCATCTCCTTCCAGCTGTACAAATGCACAGTCTTCTACAGTACAGAACATTTCAGTTTGGGGAACAGAGTGATAGGATGGGAGGTAGACCAAGCCGACTTGATTACAGACTGATCTTGATGAGGTATATTTGAAGCCTCAATGTTGCTTACACCTTGCAAATGTGGCAATGAGACAGATTTTTCACATATATGCTCAGAATGATGATACTCCTAACACTGCCCACAAGGAAGCAACTGCTCCGGAAGAGTGAGCTGTGAATAGAAATGGAAATAGCTTCCCAGTTCAACATTCCCAGAAAAGGTCTTTTTGGGCCTAGTTAACTATCCAGAACACAGCAATTACGTCAGGACTTATTACTGAGAAATACACCTTCCCATGAACAGCAATTTTGAAGAATGAAGGAGTTTCATAAAAATACTATGTGTTCTCCCAAGGGTTGCAGTGCAGCTACATTACATAATACAGAAAGGAAAGAGAAGCAAGAAAAAACAGACAGAAGCCAACATCTAAATAGCGACCTTCTGCAGCCAGGGACATGTGTAGCATTATGAATTACAAAACAGCTAGTTGCAGCTTGCACTATTTGCTTCCTTTATTACAATGTAAATTGTACTTTCTTGTTAACAGAAAGGAGTTTCAGCTCTGGAATAGACTTTCAACCTACCTGATGCACTGATAGAGGGTGCTCAGCTCTGCAACCAGCTCTGAAGCTCCTTTGTTTTCGTTGCAGCACAGATTGTGAACAGTTTCAACAGCTTTCGAAGTCGATTTGAGCTCGTCTTTGTTTATGCTCACTCTCTTGTTCTAAAATATTTCAGAATTAAGCTCTGAATGCAAGACTTGAGAATTTACAGGAAATTGTTGGCTATTTAGGGAAAGACTTATTATATGACACGTCTCACATAGCTTTACCTTTCTCAATGCTGAAATCTGTAAATAATTTGTGAAGTAACCGAAGTACAGATGAGTGTAAAGTACTAAGAATGTTTCTCTTGTATTATTAAAACGATTATTTTCATAATTTTAAATTAATTCATTTGCTTCTAAAAGGAGAGTTCAGATTTTCTAGCACAGCACAGACCTGCAATTGCTACTCTACGAAATAATGGCAAAAAGCCCCAAACTTCTAATTCCAAACTTTTATTCTACTGGCCTAATCTACAGAAGACCTGGAGTTCCCATTTTTTTCAGTTGGAGCTGGGGGTATTTAACTCCTCCGAAAAATCAGGTGCACACAATTTTAGCCTAAGCCAGGGGTCGGCAACCTTTCAGAAGTGGTGTGCCGAGTCTTCATTTATTCACTCTAATTTAAGGTTTCGCATGCCAGTCATACATTTTAACATTTTAGAAGGTCTCTTTCTATAAGTCTATAATATATAACTAAACTATTGTTGTATGTAAAGTAAATAAGGTTTTTAAAAATGTTTAAGAAGCTTCATTTAAAATTAAATTAAAATGCAGAGCCCCCTGACCGGTGGCCAGAACCCGGGCAGTGTGAGTGCCACTGAAAATCAGCTCACGTGCCGCCTTCGGCACGCGTGCCATAGGTTGCCTACCCCTGGCCTAAGCAATGATGGAACTTAAACAACAAGCCTGGATTTTCCTTAAGTATATTTACATTAATGCATTAACTTTAACTTCTACACAGTCAAAGGATCTGATATTACCTTTTTCCATGTCTCCACTACACTGGCTGCATATGCTAATATATGGATATATTTGTGTTTATGGTCTTGATTGATCTTAGCACCTGGCTTAAATAGTGACTGCATGAAAAGGTCCAGAAAGGCAGGTACTCGAATCTGTGAAGGAAACACAGGGTTTCATTAGTGCAACAGATTAAAAAGCACCAAATAAATATCTGGATCTTGTGTACACACACAGAATAGGGTACAATAATGCATTATCTGCTGAGTGATAGACCAGATGGTTTAATGGGTCATATTTTTAAAGGGGCTCAAATCAAAGTGCTGGCACAAAGTGGAGGTTACAATGAGTAGCACTGACAATATTATTTAGATATCTAAATTTTCCTGTTTATTACTTGAACTCCATACATAATCAGGTAGTTAGAAATCTAAACAGTATAACTGCACCTGTAATTAACTGTGCCCATAACAGACTGGGGACACAAAATTATAAGTCACTTTTTAAACTCTGACCTAATAGATCTTTTCCATATTTAACTTTGGGGAAGTGTTGTAAAAGCATTCATAATTAGATGCTACAAATAGCATGTTCACATTTCTGTATCCCTTAATGAGAGGAGTCTCCATAATGAGTAACTGAGTGCTAGCAAGTGGCAGAACTTATAACTCTCTCTTATTTTGGTGTTTGTACAGCACCTTGCGCGATGGGGCCTGAAGCCCTGAGTAAGGCCTTGAGAGGCTTATGTCACAGAAATAAAAAGAAAAACTTAACAGTATAAAGAGGTAACTACAAACCAGTTCTACTGGAGGTGGGTCCATGCTTGTAAACATTTTGAACAGGACTGTGATGTCTGCTGGATTCAGAGCTCCTTTGGATAACATGGCACCAAGCGCTTGACATGCTCGAGGGTAGGAGGCTGCAGTACCCAGGGCTAGCGTGATCTGACTAGCATCGTGGCCTCTTGGTAAAGAGCAAGACACACATGGGCATTATATTTTTCTTATAAAGAAACTGAAACATGTTAATTTTAGCCTCAGAAACATACCGATAGAATAATCAGTGTTTGTCACCTAGTGTGCAGAAGACAGCCTTAAAGACTGAACCTTTTCCTCAGTGAGATAATACCAATGTGGCTACAGTAGGAAATAAAAGATTTGCATAGGATATTTTAACAAGTTTTTACACAGTCAGAACATCGACATTACTTAATTCTTTCATAATGGCTACTTCAGGTATCCCAACACAGGAAAAAGGGCTTGTTTGTTGCTCTGTAGCTATTTGTTTATTGACCACACCTGAGCAGCTCTTACTGTGCAACTTTAACCTACTATGAGCAGGATGAAGAAATTTAGGAATTCTCTATTTCAATCAAGAATGGGCAAAGCTGACATTTTGTGACTTACCATACTTTTACCAGTGAAATTCTGCTCGTGGGAGAAAGACAAATTATCAAGGACTTACTTCTCGTGAGCAAATCGCTGAACCTCCTGAGCAATCCTGTGCACAGCAGACCCACCTTGCTCTTCTTGGGCTAATATGGACATCATAGACTGAGCAAAGAGATATGTGTGTTCTCCATGGCAAACCATTTTCTGTAAACACATTCAGGGAGATGTTATTCGCCAATCTGAAAAATCTGGGTCACCCTTCAACAAATATATTGCCTTAATAGCAGCAGCAAGGGTTAGTTATGGTGCTAAATAACTGAGTAAGATGTAATGTAAATGGAAAGGTGATACCATAGAAAATCCAGTGCAGAATGACATCCTTGTATGTGATGCTATTCCAGGACAAGCTAGATCTAGAGTTCCTGCTTCACTTTACTACCCAGCATAAAAGGCTTCTTAGAATTCTCTCTCCTTCACCCAACTGCCAGTTCTCATGGTTGTCCAGTATTTCTCTCACTAAATTTAGAGAATGGATTAGCATTAAGCTATACAAACCTCACTACAATATTTAACAGAAAAGAACATGCACATGTCACAGTTCAGGGCAACTGCATCTGTATTTCCCCTCAGTGGTACACCAAGGGTACCCACCCTCAGACATCCTGCTCCGCATCTGTTGCGTCTCTTGGATGGACACATGTCTCTCTATTCCTTCTGATTGGGGTATTCCCAGGCTGCACAGTTCCCTTGACTTTATTGTGTAATTCCTAGCACAGAAAGGTTGCCCTAGGACACCTGCTTGCTTTCTCTTCAGGACGGATAACAGTATAATTGCTTGAGATAAGTTACCGCACAGTTCTTTCTAAGCAAGCCTACTCTATTCTTAAGAGAATACCTATTAAAAACAATAAAAGACACACACACTAATAAGATTACCAGAATTTCATCCCAACTCTCACCTGGGCTTTGGCAGGTGCAGTCTTTTAATACCCCATCCTAGGGGCATCCTTGTGGTTACAAGTTCATCAGAGCTTCAGCTCAAAACAAGCACACGGCCTACTGGGGCCTCATAAGACTAAGTCCTTCCAATCCTCCCCTAAGCACTGGGACCCTCCATGAACCAGGGGTCCTGTCCATTTGCTGGAACAGGAAGAAGGCCCTGATGCAGATTAAACCCCAGGCTTTTATCCAGAAGTATTTCCTTTGTCCGATGGTCCCTGAAGAATCCAATATGAACTAGTATATTTATTTCTCTGCACGAGGGTGACTTCAAAGGGTTGATAATGGAGGAAGTATATTAGCCCCCCCACCCCTTACTAGGGAAGGTACATACAATGCCACAACACAAACACAACTGCATTTTTACTACAATGTTCCCAAAGGTGTTAACCCTAATGAATGAGGTTTAATTTAGTAACAGAGCAACATCAGCAAATTCCCAGTCCCAGACTTTCCCCCAGAAACGTGCGTCTTGTACTCCCCAGTCCTCTCCTAGACAACACAAATTCATATAAAGTCTATCATTTTATTAATAGAAAATGATATGCACAAATCCCAAATGGAGTTTCCCAAACACTTCAATCCAAGCACACTGTTGGATGCTGAGGAACTTCTAAGAGTTGCTGCCTTGAGGACCTGCATCATAACCGACATCCTTCTGGGTCTAGATTTTCTAGAGCACTACAATTATGCCAGGTCTGGTTCCCCCCTGTGAACTGATAGCATGTCAATCAGGACACTGGTGATACTGCTGAAAGCATAATGAGCTCTAAAATTCCTGCTAGACTTCTGCACCTTCAAATTATTCAGATTAATAAACCTCAAAAAGTGTCATCTCAGCGGCCCATACAACCCCTGGTGGTCAAGACTTTGAACAGTATAAAAGCTATTTTTGATGCATAACTCTTGGTCTACATTTTTTTCGGTGGGCCCATAAACAAGACTGCATAACCAGTGTATCTTCAAAATGTTGTGAGATGAAGTTTCTACACCATCACCAGGGAAGCAGAGAGATTCCTTTTGACAAAAGGTAAAAAGACACTTACCGCAAACTCTGGGAGGTTCTTCTCAAGGTTTTCTTCCCCTCCATCTAAAATTGTAGCCAGAGAAGTACGTAGCACTCGAGAAAAGACTTCTAATTGCTGACATGCTGTTGATACACTGGTTATTTCCCCTTGATAACCGGCATCAGATATAAGCTATAACAACAAACAACACTCAAAATGATTTTTGTATCTCAGCACATTTTAGGAAGATTGGATGAAACTACACTGCACAGAATGTTAAATGAGTCTCTGCATACTCTCCATGGAATCCAGGTAATACAAATAAATAATCATCAGCATCTAGACACTGACTGAAAAATATGACGATAACAGGACAGGTGGATAAACCCAAGTCATTTAACATTCCCTGTACTTTCTGAAAGGAAAAGGAAAAGGGGGACGGGGGGAGAGATAAAACAGCCAGCACATAATATAAAAAAATGCCTTTCCATTCCTTCTCAGTGAAGGGTTTTGCTAATGTCATCAATTGTTAAAGCAAAGTTAAAGCAGTTCATATATAATAAAAGAATCACCATGAACTGAATTAAGCTTCTTAATTAAGTGTTCTCACCACTATCTGGGACCACTAAATTACCTGTAAAACCTTACACAAAACAAGTTCACAAAGCAGTTCATCTCCTGGCTTGCCTGTGTGCACATAGGAGAGCCAGGAGACTATCTACTTCTTGACACACTACAAAAAAAAGGTTGACCATTGGTCAGCTGTTCTATAGTCTACACGAAATGGGTTGATGGTCAGTCTCCCTTTACATCACAAAAATACACCACAACTGTTGGCATCCTTGCAAGTGGTTTAAAGGAGGCAATCAAGAATGGGTCACCTGACACTTAGTGATCCTTCTAAAAATAGGGTGAGGTACACTGTGGTGAAGCTTGTACTGAGGATATCTGTACAAATACCTGCTCTTCACCTAACCAAATGCTATAGATTTCAATACATTTCATAAACACCAAGTTCACTTTAAAGAAGTCCCACCACATGGCAGTCATAATGAGGATGGTTTTGATTGCCTACAAATGAAATGTAACAAATTACTATTCAAATTCACACATGTATATTACTGTCTTTGATCCTTGATTTAGTTATGTCAAATTAAAAGAAAAATATTTTCAACATTCTGCAACATTCTTCCCATAGAAAATAGACTCTTAAAATGCACAGAGTTAACAATACAATAAATAGTCTTAATATGAATGCCCAGAGATTGGGGAAGGTTACAGTTGGCATGTAATGGAAGAAGAATTAGAAATCATCGTTTCAGTAATAAGCTGTTTATTAGACTCCAGTATTGATTACCTTGACAGTAAAATTAAGCATCAGGCAGTCTGGATGGGCTTCAGCCAGTTTGTAAAAAAGATCTCTCCATGTAGGATGTGCTATCATTTGCTCAAGCCAGGCTGGAGTCTGCAAAAATTACAACGACAGAAAGAAACACTGCTGTAACAGTGCAATAAAAATCCTGAATCTAAACATTTATAGAATCCAACAGATTCCACTTCTTAAGCTTATCCAGAGTAAAATGTTTACATGCATTATTTCAAGAGTCTTGAAAGAGAACTAGCTAACTGGAACCTTGTAACAAAATAAAATGTATTCAGCATTGAGCAGTTTCCACTGTCTAAGTGAACCTACAGGGCTTCTCAGATATGCAGAGTAATTTTAACAGAGAGCTAGTTTTAGTAAAGTATTAAAGAGGAAGCTACAGCTTCCTTCCCCAGTATTTGAATCCAAGGGCCAAATTTACCTTGGTCTAAAGAGATACAATCTCATAAAGCTGAGCTCAGAGACATTATGTCCAACAATTGCAACCCTGAGTTTGGCCACTGAGCAGCTGGTCTGTACTTGGCCATGTGTATTCTATGCATTACCTCGCCTTCCTCTGTAAAGATGGAATCTGCTTTCCGAGGGTCAAAGTGTTTGATGAGTAAACTTTTCAAGTGATTTTCTACAGTTTCCTGAACCTGCACCGGCTCAACACCTGCAAGGAAGGAAATGTCACTGGGTGGAATCTAAACTGTCAGAGTAGTAGCAACTCCTTGAAGTTTCTCATGACTATTAGAATAATAGAACAGAAGTTGTCTAACAAATTAATTAAGAGGCAAAAAGGGAGACAGTATTCAAAATCCAAAATAGGAATATCAAGCAATATTAGATCCGATATGAAGGATTTAGGATTTCTCTTTCCTAAACACAGACCTACCAGCTGTATTACACAGGCGCACACATGTGCAGGTTACACTAATCCTTTTCTCAACTTGTCCACTCATGTGAGCAAGCTGGACACTGACATTTACAAGACAGCTAAATAGGCTGATAAGTACCTTTCAATATCTTGTCTGTGCTCACAAGAAAACATATGGAGAATAGACAGTGAACCTACATGGCTACAAACTAAAAGACAGCTGCTTCCCATATGACAGATTCAAATACATGCCCACCAGCCTTCCAAGTACTGTATCCTTTTGAATAATGTGTAATGAAGTAACCAGTATCTGTACTGTGATTGCAGTGATTTAAGACATTTCCAACAGTGTGCATGTATTCTTTTCATACCAGTTACATTTGAATCTACCAAGATGTAGATTTCACCTCTTCATTACACCATGGCAAAGATCCAGCAAAATTTACACTGTGAACTTGCCCCTTAAGAGGCAGAGCTGCAGAAATCCCAGAAGGTTTGACAGTAAAGAATTTCAATCTCAATCAGTACTTTTGAGAACTACATTTACAAAAATGTATATTTAACTGATCCACAAAAAGCAGGCTGCAACTAAAATGTAGTTAAATCAATATTAATTATGTTATGCTATAATAAGATGTTAGGTATTTCTAGAGTATCTATCACAACACTACCTAAGCACTAGTCTCTTTACATGGGATTAAAATAATAGACAGAAAGCAGAAAGTCTAAAATACAATAGCTCCTTTCATACTACAATTTTAGTATTTTAGTGTTCATCACCACACTACCTCACTCATCCCTTGGGTACAATTGTGTTCTATTAGACAGCTGCCACATCATTACACAAAAGTGGAACTAAAAAAAATATTCTCATCAGGTATATCGGGATTCAAGGCAAAAAAATGAATTTAGTCATATATTTAGGTATAGAATGGCAACTTGGACATCATCCACCTTTTGGGTATGATCAATGTTATATCTGCCAACAGTTCAGAAGTTTCTGATGTATAAAGAAAAACTACAGCCACAGGACACCGTTAGACCACTGTAGCGTACCTGTTTGAATGAGCCACTCTGCCAGTAGATTTACAGTTTGTGCCACTGCAGTATAATTCTCTGACAGCAGTTGGATAACATTTTCTGGAGAGCCACCTGCCTGGAAATACCTGACAAAGAGAAAAAAAAAAGGGGGGGGGGGGCAGTTATTTCAAAATTAACTGAAGAAACAAAAAGTACTCCACCCCTATGTAAAGGCAGAACAATGTGCTCAGGTATCATTTTCAAACTCTCAGTTACATGCAACATATTATCATTACATATCAAAATCTTTTATACTCACCTTTTTAGAGTGTTAAATATAGAGGGCTCCATTATATAATCTCGAGTGGAAAATTTATGCAAACATTCTTGCTGGACTTCAGCATCATCTTCTCCTTCTCCATACTCATCATCCTGCTGTTTACAAACACAGAGTCAGAGTGGTTATTTCTCTTTTACATTTGTTTTTTTCTACTGTGCTAGTTACATTTTAAATATCTTGCTTGTTGCCCATAAAGGTGCACATACACACCATGATTTCCAACACCAAATGCCTTCTACAGAGGAAAGCACAACCTCTTAACAGAGTTTACTTCAACACCTACCACATTTAGGGGGAAAATGTATTTTTGGGGGGAAACATGTATTTTTAGGAAAGCGAGCACAATCAAACCTCAAATAAGAATAATACTGCAACTGTAGACTCAGGGCATTAAATTGTAAATCTCTTGGAGCAAGACATGTCTCTTTCCTTTATACTTTTTAGCATCAACTGTGAAAAAAATCCAGGCACCAGAAGCAGCCATCAAGAATAGGATTTTTTAAAATATACCCCACATTTACAGTATTTGCCAGGTGAAGGGGGACTGGCAGGGTCTAAAGATCAACCATGATTACCTGGAGCTCATCCCAAAAAGGACAGGGGCTCAGGAGGGGACAGGTTTTGATATCACTGGGGAAACCATGATTATTTTAAATATTGGCAAAAATATATTTTTTTAACTCCTGAAAATCACAGAGGGGAACCCCTGTGCCTGCTTTGACCATGCCAATGGGTGAGCAAGTAGTAAGCAGGCAATCAGACACATTTGGGGAGCACCGAGGGCATAACACACCCTCAGCATAGCAACAGGAGAGAGCCTGTGTTGCTATGTGCAACAGAAGCTGCTTTGGTGATGGAGCAGTGGGGACAGGACAAGGGGAGAGTCAGCCTCTGGGACTTCATACAAGTGTGTGTGTGTGGGGGGGGTGAGAGATGGAGCCCCCTAGCTAATACTCCCGCCTCTGCGCCCCCTCCAGAAGGGACCTGCAGCCACAACCCCTCAGCCAGGCTCCACCCCGCACCCCTTCCAATCTCCGGTTCTGCTCAACACCCCTTCCTCCGGCCCCCACACTGCACCCCTCCTCTATCCCCCCCCCC